CAATCCATCCGCTCTCCTTAATTACTAGGGGCCTGTTTATTTCCTAATAATACATTTGGTGGAATAGTAGAATGATGAAAAATATGTGGGAAAAGGATAAAAAAAAAAAAAAGTTTTGAATTTACGTGTAATATTATTTTATTGAATAGGGCGTGATTGAAAAAAATAGAGAGAAAAATTTATATTGAAAAAATGGGATCAAAAATGGACTAAATATAAGATTTCACGTGTAAAATAGTAAAAAAAAAAATTATCTTCTCTTATTCAGATTGAGAATTATTTTTATTTCCTTTTTATTTGACATCTTGACCTGCATCAACAAATATTTCGACGATAGCAAAATACCTCCAGCAATCTGCTATTCTTTCAAAATGCCCTCCACTTAATTTAATAACATTAATAAAATCACGAAATCATGTAATGAAAAAAAAAAATACTATCAAAGGAAATTTCGCAGGCGATGAAAAAAATTTAAGATCAATAATGGAGATCTTTTCAATGATAATTTTTTAAAAAAAAATAATAATAATAATAATAAACTATCTTGGCGAGGAATAAACTTTTAAGTAACTTCTACTTCCTTTTAAAACTTAGCTAACTTTTTTTTTCAGTTAGAATTAGACATGCACACATGTGCTTTGAGATGCTGTTTTGATACTTGAGAAGAACTCAAAAAAAACAGCTCATGACTTATATCTTTGTATAGTATTCCAAAACTACATTGCAAAACTCAAATAATCATCCAAACGGTCTAAGAATTCAGAGGGATGATGCAATAAAGACCACTTTAAATCTGTTCAATAGCTGGAAGTATAATGCCTCATCTTATTATTGGATTATTATGTTGTATTTTTCCTTTCTTGAATTAGGGTTCGAAGATAATGTTGAACGATGTTAAAATTTAAAAGGGGAAATTTCATAAGGGAGAGAATAAATATGGTAGATTTGAAAATTAAGAAAACAAGTTTCAAAATTCAAAAATCAAATTTTTATTAAAAATTATTTATGATTTAATTATTTTATTAATTTAATATATTTAGGTCATAGTTTTTTGTCACAATTATCTAATTACTTAGTCACAGATTAATTTTTAGTCACAACTCATCAAATTATTGGTTGTAACTTATTTCTCGATCACAGATCGAAAATTTTATAGGTCACAGAATATTTTTCGATCACAAATCCAAAAATTTTACAGGTAACAGATTATTCATCGGTCACATATTCAAAATTTTTATAGGTCACAATTCATTTACTCATTGCAAATTATTGAATTAATTGGTCACGATTAATTTTTCGGTCACAAATTAATTAATTAATTAATTGCGAGTCACAGTCACAATTTTCAATTTGCATATGCAATTGCGAGTCACAATTGCGAGTCGCAGTCACAATTTTCAAGTCATAGATTGCCAATTTAATGATCACAATCAACCTAATTAATCTATGACCATCACCAAACAATCACTGCCACCTGTCGCTGTCATCGGCACGACCACGACGATACTAATAACACCACTCTGTAACACTAATAACATCATAGCCTTAACTACCAAAGCCCACCACCACGATACCAATAACACCACCACTGTAACACCGACAACACCATAGCTTTAACCACCACAACCCACCACCACGATACCAATAAAACCAACAATGCCATAGCTTTACCCCCCACCACTATCACAGTGAACATCGTACAGATCAACGCCTCAAACACCGCTGCTCCTTCCATTTTCAGGTCGACCACCCCAAAACCACTGCGACAGTTGCGACGAACACCGCACTAATTAACCCCTCAAACGTTGTCGCTGCTTCCATTTTCAGATCGACAACTCCAAAACCACCGTGATCGTGCACGACGAATACAAAGCCACCAGAATCATTCTCTCATTCTTAGCCATAGCCGTAGGCCGAGACGATAAAAACCGATCCAAAAGCCACTGTAAATGACCATCTTCCCGAAAATCCTTTTGGGCTTCATTGCCCTCAACGGGGTCACATCTTTCCTTACGTCTGACAACTCCCTCACGTCCCCCAGAAGACCTTGATCTCCTCATCCCATACCCCAGCTCATCCTGGAACTCAATATAAATCACAACATCACAACCAGATCCTACCTCAACCAGATCTACAGATCTGTAGAATTGACAATTTCCAGCGATGAAGACGGGGTCACTACTTACCGACGATGAAGACGTCGATCAGAGAGGGAAATCGACTGCCGTCGTGCGTGAGAGAGGCCGGAGAGCGAGATAGTTGAGTAGAGAGAGAGAGGGTATTGAGATTGAAATTGTTATAATAAGGGTTTGTTTAATTAATTTTTAAATATATTAATTAATTAAAAAAATTTGATTTGTGAAATATTAAACATTGCATCTTATTTATGAAATAGGAATTTTTAATCTATTAGAATCTGTAATTTCCACATTTAAAAATATGATTTTAGGTATTGACTCAAAACAGATAGGGTTTATGCGTCGTCGGTAATAAAAAAATTAAGCCCTTGTTCGAGTTCCATTTTTTTAAAACTCATTTTTAACTATACATTTTTTTATAAAATAATTGTACACGTATTTCAAAAAAATTCTTACTTTTTAACCACACATTATCAAAAAAACTACTATTACGTAATGCATTTTATCCCACATAAAAACAAAATTTTGGGATAAGCCAACCAATTCTGATTTTGTTTTAATAGGTTCTAAATTTTCAATTTTTTATATAATCGAACAAATTTTGAAACTATTCTTGGTAGAAGTTATGATCTGGTCAGGCCCACTTTTTATAATATATTGGCAATGAAGACTAAATGTAAGTAAATAAATTAATGTGTCTATCCATTTCTATTGATACGAGGTAGGGCTGTAATCAAAAATTGTAAAATCGAATCGAAATCGCATTTTAGAAACTGTCGGTTTGGTGTCATGTGGACTCGGTCAACGAAATGGTTTTGACCCAAACCAAACAGGTCAAAATGGTTTGGTTTGGTTTGAGAATTTTAATTGCGATTTAAAACAAAATCGGACTGGCGAAAAAATATATAAAAATAAAAAAATGAAAAAATAAATTTTTTTGCAAATTCATCCAAATATGTAAAATTCAATAGTTTCATTTGTGGGTATTTTTGTCAATTTTTAATTTTCTAATACAGATATATTATCATCATCATCATCATCATCATCATCCAATAATCATAATATATATCTAATAATCTCAAGACTAACATAATCTATCAAAAGTCATTTTCCTCTTTAGAATTTAGATGAATTTCAGCCGACATCCAACACAATCTTGAGCCACCAACACCACACACATCTTTTTCAGATTTTTCACGCCTCTTCAAAGTTGAATAGTAGTCTATTATACCAAATCGGAGACAAAGAGATCCTAGACATTCGGTGATAATATTTGCTACGAATAAAGTTTCAGATCAATAATTTTTTTGGAACAAACTAAGATAAGAATTAGAAATTAAATGTGTTTCGTAATATCATACAAACGTAAACTTGTGTAATTTTTATGTTTATATATTATAAACAATTGTTTTATTATTGTGGTTGGTTATTCTTTTTGTCTAATCAGTATCCTTTTTTCAGATATGATGATCACGAGGTCTTATTGAACATCATTATATTTTTTGGGCCTTATATCTAATTTAGTAGACTTATATTGTAATGTTATTATATCGCCATTAGCCTAAAAAATGTGAACAAAAATGAAAAAAAAAACTATGTTTTAGTTTATTATAATTTTCTTTGATTTAGTTGGTATTTAAATTTATAGCAGATATATTTAGCCTCTGTTTGAGCCATATTTTTCATATCATCATAACGAGAAAATTGATCGTTGGAGAGGAGGTTAGGTCCCACACATGAAACAGCAGGTCAACAAAGGCGGTTGGACTTGTGGGATAATGGTCCAAATTTTTATTTTTTTGTTTCAAAAATTTGGTTCAAACTGGGGGTTTAGTTTATTTTAGATTTATTGCTAGTAAGATATAAATATATATTGAATTTAATGAATTAATGACATAAAAGTAGACGGAAAAAAACATATGGCGAAACCGGCGGTTTACAATTGGACCAAACCGTTAGGTTTAAGTTTGAGTTTTTTTCAAACCATTTAAAATGATTTGGTTTGGGTTTGGGTTTTTCTCAAATCGATTTAAAAGGTTTGGTTTGAAAATCTGTCAAAAATCGATAAAATCGGACCGCTTATACCCCTAATATGAGGTATTTTAACCCATATTTGGCATCTATTTTTTAAAGTTCATTTTCAATCATATTATGATATTACAAATTTTCAATAATACAAATCAACAAAATTTACTAAAAATTTAATTTTTTGGAAAATCAAAACAAAGGCTTAGTATTGTATAAGAGCAAGTAGAAGTCTTGAGTCGAAGTATTCCTTCTACTTGGTTACGAAAATAGTGCACTAGACAGGCTTGTGACAAAAATAACAAATCCGGTAATCGTGTTGAACTTTGAAGATTAAATTTAAATAAATATTTTTTCTTTCTATTATAATTTGAACTTTTGGATAAAGTTATTCAAAGTGAAAAAACCTGTCCAGTGTGCATATTCACTTAAGCTCCGTTTGAAGCACCATATTTTTCATGGAAGTTGGAATTGAAAATACCATTATCCTTTTGCTATGTTTGATAGGCAACATATTCCTAGCAATTTGTTTTCTGGTTTCTAGCACATGACCCTGTTTTCCACAAAAATGAGTAATCTGTATTCTGTGGGTTAGCTAAGAATTGGTTTTCTTGGTTTCTGTTTTTTTTTTTTTTTTTTTTTTTTTTTTTGTGACAATGGAAACAAATTTTATCCCAATACCAGTAAATTCTATTCCTATAATTGACAATTTTCATGTAAAACAAAGTCAAACGAAAACAAAAAAAACTTTTATTTCAACATTTTCTATGTGAAAAATTATACCAATCAAATACAATAATTGACAATTCTCATTAAAATAATTTTTAGGCAATTCAATTCCTTAAAATTCGTTTTCTTTCCACCTAAATTTTATTTTTGCAATCAAACGGACCCTAAATGTAATGATAAAATTACAGAATTATATGAAAATGGTAGATCTCTAGAGGTGAGATTAAAAATTTTGCCTTGTAATATGAGTAATAAAGGAATCCATTTCCTTGCGAGCGACACCACCTTCCATTACTGACTGTTTTACTGCATCTGCTAATTCTGCTGCCCTATGTCTCATCTCCTCTCCTTCTGATGTATCCATCAATCTTCTTACGGCCTTCTGGACTGATATGGCCGACACAACCTCGTCACGATGGGCCCAATCCCGTACTTCGAGGCCGATTTTTAGTACTTTTGTCATCAGTACAGCGTTTCTTGGCTGGTCTGAATGCATTGGCCATGCTGCTATTGGCACTCCCAAGCTTATGCTTTCTATACATGAATTCCAACCACAATGAGATACGAATCCACCGGTCGAAGGGTGCCCCAAAATTTCCAACTGGGGTGCCCAGTCCGTAATAATTATCCCTCTTTCTTCTACTCTCTTTTCGTACCTGTATTCATTTACGGAAATTATGCACGTGAAAAAGATTTAGAAAAATGAATCTAAAATGCACATGAAGATAATTTGTATTGGTTTATCCATACCCTTCTGGCAGTGGAGCTCTCCTAACTTCACCTTCAAAGACATCACCCTTATCTGCATCTCTCAATACCCATATGAACTTCTGTTCACTCCGTTCCAACCCGAGGGCAAGCTCTTTGATTTGTTCATCGGAAATTGAAGAAGTTGAGCCGAACGAAACAAATATCACTGCGTTCTTAGGTTGTTTGTCAAGCCACTTTAAGCATTTCTGATGGCTATTTGAGTCCTTTCGTTCAGGTATCGCCACCGGATTAAATGGTCCGATAGCCCAGAGTTTGTCTGTTCCTGTTATAACAACGATAAAATCTAAAAACTCGCATCACTTGAATATTAAAATATAATCAAAATATAAGGATTTTAGCTGCTCCTCTTAATCGATGCTCAGTACCTGTTGACTTTTCTTTTGCAAGCAAATCAAGATACAACCCTTCTACTACTCTGCTTGCATTGTAAAGATCTCCAGAATTGAATTTCTTCGCCTCTCGATCCAATTTTAGAAATTCAAGAAATTCTGGTGCAAAGCAACCTTCCTCGGAAGGAACTTCTTTCAAAGCCTCAGCTTCAGCATGTACATCTGGTTTTCCGGCATTTTCCCAGTGAAATGAATAAATAGAGAAAGCCGATATACTCTGAAAACAATAGGATTCAGCATTCGATATAGACGCGATGTCCTGAACAACATAACTCATTAGAGAGTCATAAATGACAACTATTCTTCTCGCTGTGCTTGAAATTCTGTTTACAAATTCATGTACAGGCTCGCGTAGATGAATTGACGATGTGTGACATGCCAGAATAAGTTGTGATGGAAATTTAGTGGTCGCATTGGGGTCAGGGAGAGGGTTGTGAAATGGAGGTATTGGAAATTCACGAAAATGTAAATTTTTAATGGCTGAAGGGTCCCAACCGTGTGCTCGATCCTTCGTCTGGCGGTTGTGCATGGTGGTGCCGATATAATAGACAGGTAAGTTGTAGGCGGAGATGAGGCGAGACAGGTGGAGGAGCTGGTTGAGATGGCCTTGTGCCGGAAGTGGCACCATGACCACCACCACCGGAGCCACTTCCATACCATTTTGGACACCATTTTCTTGGCCATGGCTTTCTATACAGTGATGCGTGGCCATTTTATTGCTTTAATATGATCAGACAATGTCTTGTGAGGACATATATAATAGCTATGAGCTCGGTGCTTGCCGCCACTATCTGATTCTGCTCCGTCCTTTGTCCCTTCGATTCGTAACCGTATATGGACGAGTAATAATATTATATTTTGAAGTCACAAATTCAATTTTGCATTCTCTGGTGCAGTGCAATATTATCAATATATTATAAATTTGAAAACTTTTTGTGACGATAACCATTTTGATTATCGTACCCCAATATTGACTAATACTAATCTATAGAAGAATTTGAATTTCATTTATTACCTTATATAAAAGTAGGATTTACCTAGAAAAACCATTTCCAAAAAGTTGAACATAAAATTTAAATACTTACACCTTTCTAATATCTTATGTACTTAAACGTTATGATTCACGAAGAGTTCTGATAAAATCATTGGTACTTTCTAGGAGAAATAATATTAAGTCCCAAAAATTGTGTGATTAATAAATGGATAGTTGTAGTGAATATGTAGTTAAAATTAATGTTTTATTCTGATTTAATAAAAAAAAGTTACTTTTAGAGCCCGTTTGATACACATTAATGTAAAAATGAAAATGAAAAATATAGTCGTTATGGACCCCCACACAAGAGATAGAAATTCAAATTTGATGACTTGATGTGATGGATAACGGTTATATTTTTCATTTTAATGAAGAAAAAATGGGAAACAAACACGGGCTTAATTTTACATGAATAGAAACTCAAGAAAATACAAAGAGGTCATGTAGTCTCATTGGCACTTATTTATTAATATTGTACATGTATCAAACTTTTTTGATGGAAAATAAATTAAATTGGAGGGAAATAATGAATGAAACTTAGCCTCCATTTGATTTATATTCTTTTAAAAATTTATTTTTTCAAAACTCATTTTCAACCACACATTTTTTAATAAAATAATATTACACACAAATCCAAAATTTTTCTTTAATTTTTAACCACGCATTCTTCATCAATTTACTATTCAAAATGCATTATTTCCCCCAAAATAGGGATCAAATAAGGACTTAGATACGTATTTTTATCTACTTTGTTAACCTAGAACTAACTTTTTAGGATAGTTTTTACAGATTAAAGAACTGAAATTTCAATTTCAATTATTTTCTTGCTTTTGTCCGATTGACCAATCCATATTGGAAATTACTGTGAAATTGTGAATAAAAACTATGTACTAGCCCGGGTTTTGACCTATAAAAGCTTTAATACACGAAAGAGACTATTATTCTTTATATATATAATGCAACAGGTTCATTTATGTTGAATCAAATCAATGTGTGAATTAAGAAAAGTATCAAATGACCATTCTACATTTCTTGGTGCCCAATTCAAAAACTAGTAATTTGACTAATTTCATACCAAGTCACAAATTAATGTTTTATTCTGATTTAATAAAAAAAGTTACTTTTAATTTTACACAAATAGAAACTCGAGAATACAAAGAGGTCATGTAGTCTCATTGGCACCTATTTATTAATATTGTACATGTATCAAACTTTTTTGATGGAAAATAAATTAAATCCGAGGGAAATAATGAATGAAATAGAGCCTCCGTTTGATTCACACTATTCTAAAAATTCATTTTTTCAAAATTCATTTTCAACCACATATTTTTCAATAAAATAATATTACACGTAAATCCAAAAATTTTCTTTAATTTTTAACCGCACATTCTCTTTCAATTTACCATTCAAAATGCATTATTTCCCCTGAATGAGGATCAAATAAGTTTTAGGATAGTTTTTACAGATTAAAGAAGAACTGAAATTTCAATTTCAATTTCAATTATTTTCTTGCTTTTGTCCGATTGACCAATCCATGTTGGAAATTACTTTGAAATTGTGAATAAAAACTATGTACTAGCCCGGGTTTTGACCTACAAAAACTTTAATACACGAAAGAGACTATTATTCTTTATATATATAATGCAACAGGTTCATTTATGTTGAATCAAATCAATGTGTGAATTAAGAAAAGTATCAAATGACCATTCTACATTTTCTTGGTGCCCAATTCAAAAACTAGTAATTTGATTAATTTCTAGAAGTTCTCAATCTCCATACCAAGTTTTTGAAATAAGGCTGTGGCGACTTTTTTTTTTTTAATAAAACATTTAAGCACCTATTAGTCAAGACTTTTGAAAAGTAAAGAAATATTATAATTTTTTGGAAATATTTTGTCCAAAAAGATTAGATGAAGTTGTTCAAACGTAAATTTTCTAATGATAACTTCCTCTAGTAATTTTAAGAAGTATACTCCCTTTGTCTCATTTATATAAACTAATTTTTTTATTTTTACACGAATTGAAAAATTTTATTTAATGTCATTGAAAAAGTAATTTCTATCAAATACATTTCTAGTCTGTCCTTATTTATATTTGTACAACTTTAAGATTTAAGTGAGAAAATTTGATTATAACTATGCATATTAAATAAATGTATATTAATAAATAAACAAAACAAAATATTCTCAATAAAGAAATAAGACTATATAATTGAAATAAAAAAATAAAAAAAGTTAGCGTATATAAATGAGACGGGGGAGTACATAAATTGTACCAACTTGTACAACAAGATGAAAAGTTAAAAAGCTAAAATCCTTTATTTTAAAATTTGGAAAATATATCATGAACTGTCTGATTGACGAAAGACGTGGGAAGAATAAATTAGCACTTAAGTTAAATTTGAATCGTTTTATGCACTATATGGCTACAATTCTTGACAAAATCTAATCAAAATAAATAATACAATAATATGAGAAAGATCAAATTAACACCCTATTTAGATTTTGGGGTAATAATCTCAAGTCCACCCATGAAAGGCCTTAATGGCTCGGGTATGACAACAGAACCATCTTGTTGCTGGTAATTCTCAAGCAGGCATACGATCATTCTCGGAACTGCACAAGCCGTCGCATTTAGCGTGTGGACGAACTGTGTTGACGCAGAACTGCCTTTACCCTTTTTAGGAGGAACCGATGATTCTGGACGATATCGAATGCCTAACCGCCGGCTTTGGTAGTCTGTACAATTAGAGGCACTTGATATCTGTTGAAGAAGATCAGCAAAGTGGTAAAAGGGAAGTTTCGAAATAAAGATGATTAGAGAGAGAAAATTAATGCATTACGAACACAAACAATTCTTAGGTAGGAAGCAAAATTTTTATCATACCTCACCGTAACGTCCCAATCCAGGCATCCAGGCCTCCACGTCAAATTTACGATACGCTGGTGCACCCAAATCCTCTGTTGCCATGTCCAGAGTTCTGTGAAAATTAGCATTGTGAAAGGCTGTGTGGTTAATGCATCAAAAGATAATATAAATCCAGAAGAAATGAAGTCAGATGCGCACTTAAAATGAAGTCCCAATGATGAGAAGAGGTCTTCTTCAATTTCAATTAGTTCTTTATGGAATGAATTACTTTCCTCTGGTCGGCATAATATGAACATCTCTACCTTGCTAAATTGGTGAACTCGATAAAGGCCCCTGTCCCAAATTGTCACCAATCAAACTCATTGAAAACTAAGTCAGTAGCATACATCTTCAGATTAAATATAAGCTACACAAGCACCATAAATAATGATAGAATCCATTAAAAATTTGGTATTTATAGTAATCAATACTCAATAATTCAGTGTTAAGCATGTTAAGTTACCATGATTCCAATTTTACCAAATCACGCATCAGCAAGAAAGATAAAGAGAGAGAATTTAAGAACATAAAGAAACAAAGGTAACTAAAGAGTTAGAGAGGGAAGCTGTGTACAGAAATGATGTTTGTTAAATGCATGGATGAACCTAAATAAAGGCAAGAGCATGGAGATTTTGCAAAACATCACAAGTTTTACCTAGTTGCAGCACCTGCAGCACCAGCTTCTGTACGAAAGCAATGGGAGAAAGCCACATATTTTAAAGGTAATGATAACTCAGGAATAATGGAATCCATATGGATCCCCCCCACTGGAATCTCTGCAGTGCCTATAAGGCATTGATCACTACCCTCAATGGAGTAAACCTGTCAGAGTTAATGTTTAGTATCAGCCAAAACCAAAACAAGTTTAACATTTCTACACATCATGCAGAGGCTTCATCCTGTTCATCCACTGGATATTTCAGGGGATGGGGTAAATTTTTCATATTCTAACTAAGTTAAAGTACAGGTCAGAGAAACAGTGTATTTCTCAACTGATATCTTCTCTATTCACCTTGGAATTTAGAATCCTCCAATCCTGCTATATGTCTACAACATAAAAACTCGAGTAACACAGACAGAAACACCCAGCAAAAAGGTAGTAGAACATCAGACTAGCATATTCAAGTTAGAAGTTCATAAACAACACTTGAGAAAAATGCAAGATGCTTCACCTTCTCAAGAAAGTTTTAACAACCAATTTGCATGTCCACCAAAAAAGTATTATTATTACAGAAAGCATAAAGTACTGTAGAATACTTGATGGAAGAAGAGAGCACAGGCCAAAAAGGAAATTTAATGGAAAGAGTTAATATTTGGATATTTTCATAATTGGGAATCCGACATAAAGTACATCCTGGAGCAATATGCTTGTTCATGTTGGATCAAAAGAAAGACTGGAGCAGGATCTGTTGGGTAACCAGTGACAATTGGATATTGCTAAAGCTCCAAACTAGCTATCTTAATGTACGGTAATTATGACTAACAAACAGAATGGCCACACTTCAAATGAAGCAAAAATTACCCAATAAAGAAGACACGACATATATAGAAAAATTTGCTGTGACAGCTTAATATGCTCAATGCAAAGGCTCACACATCATTGTAAGAATAATTACCTGAGTATTTGTTCCACGGGGTTGGAAACCGCATTTCTCCACCACAGAAGAACGGACAATTTCTGGGGTTGTAAGAGGTGTAAAACCTCTTTTCATAACTTCTGACACAGCCCAGTTTATGAGGCCCAACTCTAACATAACAGCTTCATTCTTCAGGTAATAGAATTTTGACCCACTTACCTGCAAAGATGACCGAACTTATAGATGAATATTAATTTAATACAGCCCAATTTCCGTTACCCTTCTGCATCAAACTTTAAGACCGGACATGCCACATGTAATAGCATATGGTGATCGAATGTGAGAAGTAAGAAATCATGTGTTCTGCATCGTGAGTCTTTAACTGATGGACTAAGGCACATATGAGAGCTAATCTTTCGCACTAAAAAATATTAAGGGCACATTGGTGTATATCTCATTCATACTCAGCAGTCTGGCAGCATCCAAGGTAAGGTATTTAAGTTTAAAAATGTCCCTTGTTTGAGCCCCATTTCAAGGGAAAGAATGCATTTCTAAATAGTGATTGATGGAGAATGTGTGGTTGAAAATTAAGGAAATTTTTTTGGTTTGCGTATAATATTATTTTATTGAAAAATGTGTTGTTGAAAATGAGTTCTGTAAAAATGAATTTTTGGAAGAATGGGGCTCAAACAAGGGCTAAATTATGTAACACAGAAAGAAACATATTTACAATCATTAGTTGATACTCTCTACTTTATCACATTACCAACGAGCAAATAGCATAACAATCTAGCATTACAACCCAAAAGAGCAACAGATAGGTGATAATACCAAGAACAATCTTACAAACTATACCATTGAAAATCCCATTTCCCTTCTTTTCTTCCTTTTTTACTCTTTGAGTGAAACAATGATAATTATTTCACATTTTTGCATGACATTATGAACATGTTGGAAATAAACTCACGCTATAGCTAAGCAAATAACTAAGACTGAAGAAGTTGATGAAGAATGAAACCAGCAAGTCTTAGAAAAAGGGTCTTATGTTTAATTTATTTTCTTTATTAAATTATGTTAGGGGATTGTGACTCAGAGTCTAAAAGGCTGTTTGTTTTCCTTGTCAAAATAAATGTAGAGTTTACTCGATTTCTAGGAATTTTAAGTGTCATTTTACTAAAAGATTGTCATTTCAAGTAACTGGAAGGATGGCATGAAATAAAATCCTCACGTTTAGGTAATGGATGACTGAATACCTTATGGTCAGAAAAATTACCTCAGCAGCAGCATCAAAATCAAATATGTTCAAATCTTTTCCGAGCTGTACATGATCCTTCACAAAGAAGCTAAATTCACGAGGTTTGCCAACCTACAAACAGTAAATTGAAAGGTCAGAGAGAAGGGGAGTAGAAGGAAGGTGAAGCAGTTCATTTCTAGGAAGATATTGAAGCAAGAAAAAGTATATACCATTTTTCTTATAGTAGAACAGTCTTCTCCTCCTACTGGAACATCTGGATGTGTCATATTTGGCACACATTGTGCTTCCTGCTGGAGCTCATCGGTGAGTTTGAGAAGATCTCCTTCCAGGGTAACAAGCCTTTCCTTGAGATTTTTACCTGGATGAAACATACTTAAATTTAGCAAATAAGACAATTGAAATCAATATTCCAGTAAACTATAGAAATGTAATTGAAACCTTCTTCTACAAGTTTTTGACGCTCGGAGGGTTCCAGTTTTCCCTTCATTCTGTTCGCAACGACATTTCTCTCTGCTCGAAGCCCTTCAACTTCCTGCTATCTGTGAGTAAATTAACTAAAGAAGCTAGCTTGTGCCAATTTTATCCAAATATAGAATATTTAGTGTATTCCAGAAGACAGAAGCTGAAATCAAAGCTACGTGAACACAACAAAATCAGTATGTATACAGTTTTGGCATTGGCATGGGCAAATATGGAGGAATGAACAAAATGCTGACAAAAGTTATAAGAATATCCACTAATTCAAATTTTATTTGTTATGAAGACAAAAACTGCTGGATAAATCATAAATATATTGACATTGAGCTAAGTGTAACAAGTTCTTTTGCGTAAAACCATGACAAACATCTACTATAATGATAAGGTAACTATATATAAAAAGAGGACAGTGAAGTATTCTTTATGATCCAAATTCAGTTTCTAGGTATCCACAGCAAAGCAAAGCAAATCAAATCAAAGAAATTGCCCACAAACTTCATCCCAAAACTATCATTCCATGGAGCAAACAACATACAACAGAATAGGACTAGCACTTTTATTTGCACAAATAAACATGAGAATGCCAGAAGAAATCTTGATGCAATTAAAAGTATATAGCCTAACCATATAATGAAACTGAAATGTAATAAACAGCACTACGAGTGTTATAGTGGAAACAGACCTTTTGAACATTCATTAATTTATCATAAAGCTCAACAACAAGGTCAATATTAGCATTGAAGTTACGGTTCTTGACGTTGGCTGCAACGGCCTCCTTGTTCTCTCTTATCCACTTAAAATCTATTGCCGCTTTCCATTGAGGCGCCTTTACAACTATAGATGGCCAAACCCCAATAACATATACATATCTATTATAAGAAGATAAACTATATTTGAAGAATATAGTTGTTTATAAAAAATTAGATACCTCTGTAATCATCTGGGGTGATAGCGGAGGCAATTGTGGTTGGTACGGTGGCTGCGGAAAGGGCTCTGACGAGGAGCGAGCGCCGGAGTGGGATTTTGGTGGATTGGGAAATGGGTCTGAGAATGGAAAGTGGGGAGAGTTTAAGGGTACTGCTCAAACACCATTGCAGTCCCATGCCTTTTGGTTATGCGTTCAATTCGACTCCGTGTTAGACGGTGATGAATTTGTTTGAAATGACAAAAAATGATGGGAATTTTGAGGCTAAATTGGGCCTCATATGATTGGGCCACATTTATTTTGTGTACTGTTCCTACATTTCTTGAGGTTTAGCACGGTCTGCACCAGTAGATCGGGGCCATATTATCCGAGTCTCAACTATTTCTGATGCTATTTTCCTCCAAGAGAAAATTAGGGTGCCTCTACTTAAGGAATTGAAATATGTAGATTATGTCGACCTCCGAATTTCAAAAGACCTAGTCGTCTCGCTCCTCCACGTGAGTGGGAGAAACACGGAAAAAGGAAAAATGTGATAGTTGAGTTTATATTTGTACAGTGACCAATTTAATGGCCAGACCCCAATCCATTAAATTTTTTACCATAAAATGGTTTTTTTTTTTCTTCTAATAGATTTTTTTTCCTTGCATATTAGCCTAACTTAATTTTTTTTTAATACAGTCTTGAATCTCCTCTGTTTGTAGAATGAGAATTACCAAATATGAACACTTTAATATGAGTATTTATAGGCAAAGAAGTGCGATGTTAGAGTTCTCTAACGAGATCTCATCACAAATGACTTGAACTCAACAATGCCACAAAATATTTATCATGGGCATGTGACCTCCCACATACTTTTCTCAAGTGACTTGGACTCACAAGGCCCATCTATCTTAGTTCATGACTGGGTCTCTTTTAGTCGCCTCGAAATTGAGAATTAACAAGTCTATTGTGAGATGTGTCACCTCAGAAGTAGAGGTCAACAAGGCGTTGAGTTGTCAAAATGTGGGAAACAAAGTGAGAAACAGTCAACATTGTCAGCAATGCCAACAAGGCTAAACAGTCAACTAGGCATAAGATTTCTAGAAGAGTTCAAGAGAAACGGTTGAAAGGAATATGTATATAGTGGGTGTAAATTCAGTTATGAGTGGTAGAATTTTTCATTTTTTTTGTTATACGGTTGTACGGGGTTTGTTACATATTCTTCCCTAACAATTCTAAAAAAGGCTCACCACTTGTTTGTATTTTTTACACAATGAAAATACAATGAAACATTTTCTCCCAGCTTGATTCTTCTTTGGTTCCTATACTATTTTAATTAAAATATTTCTTGTATAGTATCAGAGCCATTATGGCCCAAAATGAATCTTCGAATATCAATGATGATCATCAATCCTCAAATGCAAACAACCAGAGCCAACCTCCAAAAATAAATATAGATCCTATTGACCTATTTCAGCCAAATAGTCCATTCTTTATTGGAGCCAATGATAATTTTGGTGCATTAGTTGTTGCTCAAATGTTAGATTCCAGCAAATATCATTCCTGGGCAAGGTCAGTGAAAAGGGCCCTTCGAATAAAAAACAAGTTGGGATTCATCGATGGAAGCATTTGTGAACTAGATGATGCAAATAGCCCTCTGATGGATCATTGGCTTCGATACAATGATATTGTTATCACATGGTTACAGAATACTATGTCTACTAAAATCAAAGCCAAAACTCTGTATACAGAAACAGCATATCAACTTGGGTAGAACTTGAACAGCGTTTAGCACAACACAATGCTCCCAGAATTTATGATGAAGCAGGAAATTGCAGCTTAATGTAAAATCAGGATACTGTAAGTGCGTATTTCTCAAAGCTGAAAACTCTTCTTGATGAATTGATGAACTACGAATCTATCCCCAACTGTACCTCGTGGAGGATTGAAGGTTGTAAATGACTCATTCAAGGGAATTAAGGTACAAATACTTCTGATTAAACCTTTCCCAAAACTGAATGAAATGTATTCAATCATCCAGGATGAGGAAAAGAGGAGATAGATATCTACGGAAGTTCCTAATGCTGAGTCTATGGCTCTAATGGGAAGAATCGCTCCAAGAGAAGCAGGAAGGCAAATTATGGGGCCTCAAAAGAAGATTTCTGTACTTTTTGTAAGATACTTGGTCACTCCATTGAAAGATGTTTTAAGGCTAACCATTGAAAGATGTTTTAAGGCTAACCCTAAGAAACGAGTGTGCTCACACTGCCAAGTGCCTGGTCATTCAGCAGACAAATGCTTCAAAAATTCATGGATATTTGTTGGGCCACAAACTATATGGAAGGCAACGAGGTGCTATAACCTCTGAAAATCAGGTTACAACTCTTGTGGCTGCTAGATAGGAACAAGGAAGTAACAAAAGCCAAATTTCTCTAACTCAGGAGTAGTATAATCAGCTCGTGGCATTACTCAAGTTGTAGAACACTCAGCCTCACACCTTTTCAGCCAACGAAGTGCAAACTCTCATACCATCCACTTCAAATGAACCTAATATGTCAAAGATTTTTGGTATTTCCTTTTGTTCATCTACCTATATCACAAAGTCTCAAAAGTCTTCTGATATCCCATGGATCATAGATATCGAAGCTACAGATCACATGATCTGTTCTTCATCATTTTTTACAACCATTAAAGGAGAAATTTTACATTTTGTTGCTCTTCAAAATAGGAATGTAGTCCCTGTCACCCATAGAGGGACTGTTAAAATGACAGACATGCTAATTTTAGATAAAGTTTTGTGTGTCCCATCTTTCTCTTACAATCTTATTTCAGCTAGAAAATTGGCACAAACATCAAAATGTTGTCTCATTTTCTCTTCCAAATCTTGTTTTGTGCAGGACCTTTTAACTTCAAAAACGATTGGAATGGCTAAGGTGAGGCAGGGGCTGTACCACTTGCTGCAAGAAGAAGTTTCTCCTACAACTTTAATAGAATCCTTTCCTATCTTTGTCTACAAAACTTCTACATCAGCATCTGTTATCATCAAATCTGAAGAATTTAATCTATGGCACTATAGATTAGGACATCCTTCAAATTCTAGGCTAAGTCTATTAAATTTTGATCATACATCCAAACCTACAAACTCAAAGAAACCATGCTCTATTTGTCATTTAGCCAAGTTTCATAAATTGCCATTTAATGTTAGTCAACATATATCAAATAATTGTTTTGAATTAGTCCATTGTGACTTGTGGGGACCATGTAATGAGAATGCTTATGATGGATCAAAATACTTTCTCACCATCGTTGATGATTTTAGTAGATGCGCTTGGGTTCACATGCTCAAACTAAAATTTGAGGCTTCTAGTACTTACAAAATTTCTACAATATGATAGAAATCCAATTTGAAGCAAAAATCAAAGTGATTAGAAGTGACAATGGCGGAGAGTTTGATATGAAAGAATTTTACTCAGAAATGGAGATCATGCATCAAAAGACGTGTTGAAACACTTCAACAAAATGTCATAGTTGAAAGAAAGCACCAACACATCCTAAATGTGGCTAGAGCCCTAAAGTTCGAAACTAGGATTTCTATGAGATATTAGAATGATTACATCTTAACTGCAATTTTCCTCATAAATAGGACACTCACTTCTCTGCTTGACAATAAAACACCATTTAAGCTTTTTTTCAAAACCAAACCTACATATTCCCACCCTAGAGTATTGGATGTCTTGCTTTTGCATCTAGTACTCTCACACATAACAAGCATAAGTTTGACCCAAAGGCAAGAGAGTATTTTTTTTTTCTAGGATATCCTTATGGTATCAAAGGTTACAAGCTGCTGGACCTTGAATCAAATAGGATTTTTATTTCTAGAAATGTTATCTTCTATGAAGACAATTTTACTTACAAAAGTCAGAATATGGAACGTGATCAGATCATAGAATCTAAACACACTCTTCCAAGCCCCAATGACCTAGTCTATTCTCGTCAAACAAGTGTTGATTTGAACTACCCTGTGAATCAAATCTCTCAGTCTTCAACAAAATCTACATGAAGCATGCAGCAAATAAGCGAGACTCTAAGTCTAAATTCTTTAACCGAACCATCTGATTTCCCCCAAAGCACCTTTGTAACTCCTTATCAACCTCGCATGTCTGCTAGGATCAGGAGAGCTCATTCATACTTGCAAGATTTTGTATGTTAGCAAGCTACCTCACTGCCCCATTCACAAGAGTTGGACAAGGATAAAGGTTTTGCTGCACCAAGTGCCCCTTTTCCTCTATGTGCTACTTTCTCACACCACAAATTAACTTATCACATCTATTTCCACACATACAGGACCTAATTCATATCAAGAGGCTGTCAAGTGTCGTGAATGGAAAGATGCCATGGATGCTGAAATAAAGGTTCTAAAGTTGAATGATACTTGGGTTCTAATAGACTTGCCACCAGAAAAAGTAGCTATAGGTTATAAGTGGGTTTACGAAATCAAGTTCAATGTAGATGGAACAGTGGAAAGGCATAAAGCAATACTAGCAGCAAAGGGATATACTCAAGTTGAAGGCTTGGAATACCATGAAACCTTTTCACCTGTGGCGAGGTGACAAAGAGGACTCTACTTGCTGTGGAAGCAATCAAAGGCTGGCACTTATATCAACTAGATGTTAATAATGGATTCTTACATGGAGAATTAGATGAGTAAGTTTATATGAAGCTTCCACCAGGCTATCTTGCAAGTGATTAGGTAAAGGTATGCAAACTTAATAAAAGTTTGTATGGACTAAAATAGGCCTCTCGACAATGGTACTCAAAGGTGTCCTCTTTTATTCTTCAACAAGGATTTCAGCAATCCAAGTCAGATTATAGCTTATTTACAAAAGTCACAGAGGATTCATTTACAGATATATTGGTGTATGTTGATGATGTTATAGTAGCTGGTAACAATATGGAAGTTATTCATTCTCCCAAAAATTCATTTGATGACAAATTCAAAATCAAAGACATGGGTACTCTAAGATTCCACTAGTTCAGGGATGATTGGGGCTGTACCAGTTAAGATTCCACTAGATCAAAATGTTAAGATTTCTAAGATCAAGTAGAACTCTTATCAGGTTCATCTATCTATAGAAGACTTATTGGGAGATTACTGTAATTGACTGTCACAAGACCAGACTTGGCATACTCAGTTCAATTGCTTAGTTAATACATGCAGAGTCCTAGAATGCCTCATTTAAATGCTTCTTATAAGGTGTTAGGATACATAAAAAGGGCATCGAGCCAAGGGTTGTTATTTACTTCAACATCAGACATACAACTTAGAGCCTACTATAACTCAGACTGGGGGCATGTTTGGATACGCAAAGATCGGTAATAGGATATTGTGTCTTTATTGGTGCCTTCTTGGTGTCTTAGAAATCAAAGAAATATAATACCATCTCTAGATCATCAGCAGAAGCTGAAC